AGACCGAGGAATTTTAAATAGCTCTATTTCTTAAATATTAATAGTTTATTAAATATTGGCAAAAAACGAAATGCCATTTTTTTTTCATCTTTAATTGTTTATAACTTTTGCAATTTTTTATGTGCTAATACACGTTTTTGGCACATTTTTCTAGACGTCATTCCGGATCCAATGGGCTATCGCACATAATTTTAAGAGCAGTATCTCTATTTTGTACCATTTTCAATTTGTCGACTAGACTAATAAGTCAGTAAGTATTAGGTAACTTCATTGAACGATAAAGTATAAATTTATGTTTACCGTGCTGCTACTGTTTCGCTGCTTTCAAATTCAGTTTGATTTACATAATGAAGTTGACATTTGCCTGAACTTGATTCGTATATTACTCGGTCTTATGTATTGAGGCTAAAGATTCCGACAAAGGAATTCCATTTTTAATTAAAGTCGGATTTGAATAAATTATATATTATTTATTGCGTGTGTTAAATGTGTTTCGTCCAAGGAAGCGTGAATAAACAGTTTGAGGAAATGTTAACCGGCTTTCCTTAGACACAAAAAGTCGACGGCGTGTGTCAGACACAGGAGGCTGATCACCTACTTGTCAATTAGATTACCTATTAATGATCATGAAACAGATACAGAAATCTGAGGCCGAGACCTAAAAAAGGTTGTGGCGCCATTGATTTATTTTATTTAAATTTTATGAAATACTTTTTTTACTTATAAAATTTGTATGATTTATAATCAATGAAAATTGAATTTACAAGCTTAAAATAAATAAAAATGATGCGATCAGATGTTAAATTTTCTACGTAAACAAACAAATCGTTTCGTTGTGTGTGTTCTAACTTAAATTTCATCATGTCGCTGCTTTTTGGGTCGTCATAATTTCAGGTGTATTATTTATTTGAATAATAATCCGTATTCATGCAAATAGAATAACTAATTACAGTATGAGTCGATAAGAGCTTCGGCATCAATCTATGAGATAGAGTGGATGCGGGGAGGGTGAGGTCATTCACCTTTGAACATTCCTTACAGCGTCCGCATCGCTCTCTTTACTAAGAAAGAAAATGTACTATAATGTATCATTATATGCATTTGTTTACTTATTGTTTTTTTTTTTATAATTTGTAAAAATGAAACTTCAAAACAGAGAAAAAATTCCAATTAATAGTGTAATGATTTGTAAAGATTCTTTCGAAATCGGTTATAAAGAGAGCCTCTCACGTATAAAAACATATTTTTTTTTTAGTTTTCAAATTTTCCTTGTAAATTTGGAGTCTAGTGTATTTTTGTATATTATTGTAAATGTGATATAATTTTTGAAATCGGTCTATTTATTCATAGATAGAAATATTTTCTGTTTTCAATACGTATCAAAAGTATGTATTATCTGCGACTGTATAAGCATTAAAAAATCCCTTTTCAAACGAATCATATTTTTAGATAATGAATTGTTGCTTACAACAATAATTTTTAAAATTAATTCAATTGTTCTTGAATCCAAACAAAAGGTATCTAGAGAGTTCTAGATCTTTGTAGTTCTATAAATTTACCAATCACTTGCAATCGAACCTCATGATCAACTTTAGAAAAAAGTATTCCTGACCCGGATCCAATGCATGTTAAAAAATTATCACTTTTTAATTTTGTTTTACTTTATTGTATGTTTCAATTACAAGAAGTTAGTTCTATACATACACAAGAAGTTATTTTGAGACTTACCACAATTCGACTCCTAGGTTTAGATAAGCACGAATCCACCTGCCTCAATTTTCTCACTTTAGTATATTAAGAATGGAACGGCTATCATATTAATCCTTGTGACACCCAAGGGTCAAACATGAATTGCTTAGACCATCCCGATTACTTAAGCCTAAAAAAACTTGATATTTGCGTTGTCAAAACAGATTGTAAAACGAGGACACCAAACCAGTTCCGATGCCAAGTCTCAATGAGTTTGTACTTGAACAGTTTTTAGATCAGACAAGTGACCTAAACCTTTTTTGAACACCTCGTGCGGCGAACTGTAAACATACGAGTATATCGCTTAAATTCTGTATTATATTTTTAATATTACTAGTCTCTACAGTGGCGTAACTATACCATCTGGGGCCCGTGGCAAATTCTTTTGATGGTGCCCTATCAGTAAAAATCGCCACGTTGTACTCAGTTTTATTTTAATCAACTCCGAGATTTTCAGCGTACTCAATTACACGTTGTATATGTCCCACTAATAGCCATAGGCCTCCTCTCTTAGGCGGCCGAGGCGGAGGGAATGGTCTGTAGTCCTCACGCTAGCCCAATGGAGACTTCACATTCATCCTTCACATAGAACATTATACATCTTGGGCAGGGGCCCTCTTGGGTCGGAGGCCCGTGGCATTTTGCCAGCCCTACCACCCTATTGTTACTGACTCTCTTCTTTGCTGTAATTTGTTTTTAATTTTGAGTTCGAATCAGGGTTCAAGTTATATTTAAACCATTATGATTTTTTTTAGAAACACATGTTTGGATTGGCATACGATTGCAACTAGTTTCCATGAATTACAAAAAATAATACCAACATTATCAGATATATTTTTAATGCAAGCCATTAGCGCGAGATTCGAATCGAGTGTAATTTTAAGTCTTTTTTTAATCTCTTGATGGGATTCTGAATGAGTGTCCATCGTGATCGTTATCACTAAGTATAAGCGACGTTACTTATATTTTTAACGTCTCAGATCCCAGATAACTTTGACAGAGATATGTTTATACTTTATGTTCATTATTACATATATGTTAATCAGAATTCTTTTGTTTGAGCTCGCAGGATGTTTGCGTTGAAATTGTCTTACGTTTTCAAAGTAACTTGGTAATTGCCTTGTTAATATAAATCTGTCGGTCGCTTTGATGTTAAGTCGTCTGACTAGTAAACCCACAACCCACCTTCGAATTAATTCATTTTAGAATTGAGATGTCGTTCATTATATTTTCGTAATTTATTGGCTATTCGAGTATTAACTAGTTTATTTAATTGGATCGTCTTCAATTAGAATTTGATTTTAAGATCTGAATGGTCCATAATGTTTGAGTCGGAGCCCTGGAATTTATTTTTTTGTATTTACATCCATAATAAATAAATATGCTAGTTCTTGAAATTAATAAATACTATCTATTACATTACTTACTACCTACTCATCTATCCCACTTCATTTTCCATTATGTAGACTTTTTATATCCTAGGTGTTCGAGGAGAGTCGATAAACTCTCTTTGCTCCTAGTCTTAGCTATAGTTATATTCATAAAATTATAGCCATAACCCATAACTAACCATCCTTTCCCAGCTTAATCTGTAAAATAGTATTCACGATAATCGTCATATTAATATTTATCCTCGAGCGTGAGACTCAAAACCATTCAAATTAGAATCACCGGTTCCTGGACGTCTAGAACCGGTCATTTCATTCGTTTATATTCGCGTGATTCTCGCGATTCAAATGAATATTGCTTTTTAATTCCATTACCTTATTCAATTACGAAAATCGCAAGCCGAGAAACATAACGGAGTTATACGAAAAAAATCAAATTCGTATTAGTGTTTAAATCCAAAAGTAACACACACCGTTTAACGAGCAGTCTACGTTTGCACGCCAATAGAGAGAACCAATTGTGATGCGAACATTAACAAGCAAATATATAAAAATCTATCGAGGCTGCCAGACTTACCAGCTAATGAAAAAAAATGAAATTAAATCTATCAATTACTCATAAGTATCTTTTAGCTACTTACAGTAAAAAGAGGTTCAAAAGGATTTGAACTGACAAGACGTCCGAACGATAGTTTGACGATAGCCACGCTAGTAATTTGAGACATATGATCATTAGGTCCATTTTATTTATCTTCAAGCGTGGTCCATGATAGTAATGATATATTATTTACACGGTGCATTCCTCGGACGGCGACCAAGAATTTTAAGATCCATTAACATGAAACGTGTGCTTGGCGACCTCAGTGTTTATTTTTATTGCATACTCGAAAATCTTAAACATAATTTCAGTAATTAAGGCTGCATTAACACAATTTAGAGTGTCAGTCTTGAAGATATTAAGCTAAATGATCCTGATGTAACTGCCTTTACTAAGTAACAAGACCTGTAAAATGTCTGGTTTTAGATGATACAAAATTTAAGTGTTCTCAATGTTGTGGTGCTGAATTATAATAATATTATGTTTACCAAAAATGTTTACTAAAATCTGACGGCGTAAAATATAGCTGTAGAGACATTTAGATTGATTCGTATTTAATCAATACTTACAAACACAATTTAACATAGCACTCATTTGCAATAATTTTTTCCTAAGTCTAGTTGATGGTGCCTCGATATTAATCGAAGCGATTGGCTACAAAATGCTTTTAACGTAATTCGATTCGGACGAACTGGAACTTAGAATGAAACCAAATAAATGAGACCTGTGGTTCAACCTCTTCCATATGTTAATTAAAGGTCCAGTAAGCTTTGGTGAGCTCAACCAAAACTGGCTTACTGCTATACATCGTCTGACTTGCCTTGAGTCTCAAATTACTCGGATCACGTTCAAGGTGTGCGCAGAATAGTGGTCGCTGGATTTAATATATGACGTCGCACAATGTTACATGTTACATAGTGACATTGTCTTGATAACATCTTACAAAAACATATAAACTGAGAGAGTTTTTTAAACTATTCTTAAACGTATAACGTACGATGAACTTTAAAATATGTTGTAAATAAATGTAACTCATTTTCTGACTAACAAGATTTTGCAAAACAATATCGTTAATAGCCATTATAGCAAGTTAAACTCAAGCATGTTTCTACTCCACCCATTGCCAGTCTTTTAATTAACTCGTGGAATTTTATTGCTTCAAGTGTTTTATTGTTGATAAATACTACTTATGGGTCTAAGATAACGGTGTTCATTATAAACGCAAATTATAGCCAATAACTCAAATTATATTTTCTTCTTTTCAGATACATTCATTCAAAGGAAAAGCCGTTTAAATGCACAGAATGCGGGAAAGGCTTCTGTCAATCCAGGACGTTGGCGGTTCACAAGATATTGCATATGGAGGAATCTCCTCATAAATGTCCAGTGTGCAGCCGCAGCTTTAATCAGCGTTCGAATCTCAAGACTCATCTTCTTACACATACCGATCACAAACCTTACGAATGCAATTCATGCGGAAAGGTATTTAGAAGAAATTGTGATTTACGACGGCATGCTTTAACTCACGCTGTTGGTGACATTCCTCCAGGAGACGTACTTGACGTCGGTGAAGAAGATGTTGGCCGACCTGGTTCACCAATTGAACCTGGCTTCGACGACGATGAGCCTGATTTGTCATCTCCAGAACATTCCCCAGTGCGTCGTGCGAGATCTTCTTCAGTCGAAAGTATTATTAGGGAACAGAGTGAAGAACGCCCGCGGCGGTTGTCTCCACCACCACATAGTGTGGAAAGAACCCATTGTCACCACAATGAACAGACTAATAGAGCGAGTCCCTACACTATGAGACCTCAGCATCAAGACAAACATCGAATGTCATCAATGGATGGTTATGAGAATCGAAAATATTCCTCCGAGGAAATAATAGAAAAAGAAATGCGCTATCCTGATATACCAGAACCCCCAGTCAGACACCCTCAGCTACAGATTCGAAGAGACTTGCATCAAGTGCAACCTCCTGACCCATCTAAAATTGGTCAAATGGCTAGCCCGTCTATTGACCCAGGACCTTCTAGTATGTTTTTAAGCCCATTTAGAAAGAGAAGTCATCCACCTGACATAGGGGATAACATTAGAACGTGCGCTCCTATATACAGGACCCGATCGCCTGAACCAACAAATTTGTCAATGCCTCGTCAAACAATAAGTAATAATGATATGGTGGTCAGCATGGCGCCAATGATGGGTATGCCTTATCATAAGTATGGCATACCTTTGCCCCCGCCACACCCGCAAGTTGCTTACGGTTCAATGACACATACAATTTTAGGTCCACAGCAAACAGTGGCTCAGGACTTAATAGTAAAACCAACGCCTCCGAAAGATACTGCGCCAAGTACATCTACAAACGTTTCAAGCTCCATAGACGGTGGCCACAGCAACGGAAACGGAACTGACAACTTGAGTACAAGCTCTATTGCTAATGGAATAAAGAACATTGTGGGCATACAGCCTAATACAAATGCTACCGCAGGCACAAGTCAAGCAAGTAGACCCAAGAAAGGTTTCAGCATAGAAGATATAATGAGACGCTGATGCAATAATTTTTGAAAGGGATTGCTTTAGGTATTTAAATATTTACGAAAAAAGTATTATTAGTTCAGCTTAAGTAAGATCGTTAGAAACTATTGTATGTATTCGAAAGTGATTGGGTTTTCGTAAAGATCTCATATGGTTTGTTTGTGCAGTGTTTTGATTACGTCCAAATTTTATTAAAATATTCATATATATTATAGACATTACATTGGTGGCAATTCTGTTAATAGATAATGAATAAAATGAAAAAAAAATTCGTATATTTTTGGTCACGAGATATAATTTTTAACTCAGATATAATGATTTTAATGTAATAGAATTATACGATTGCTGAATTTGATTGCTTACCTAGTACAGAATTGTCACCAAAATCTATACTTTATTTGAAATTTCGAGGTTAATATTCTTTGTATGTTATAGATTATATTAATGCTAATTTGCGACTGGTATTATGATTGTGTTATTTATTATTTAGTTTTTAAAATAACGAAGGCAATTTTAGTTTAATTAGGTGTAAGTACCTCTAGCTATGTGATTTCATTATTATACGTAAATAATGTTAAGTTTATTGAAGAAAGTATTACTTTATGTAACTTCATTTTAATTTGTAAATTGATTTCGTATGCTAATTAGCCTTATTAATAAGTTATTTTTTTTAGTATAATGAGCAGGAAATTTCTTGAAATTTATGATGTAAAATATTTTTAGAAATTAATGCAATTTCACGTTAAATGTTTATTTAATAGTTGGCTTTTGTTTTTAAATGGTATGAGCGTCATGCAATTTAATAGATATTAATAAAAAAAAACGTTTTGTTTGACGCTGAAGTAAATACTATAACAAAATTAAGCCGTAAAATTAATAAATTACATAATTCTTGTGCACATAATATAACGTAAACTTTTCTATGTTATTAAATACAATGTAATACAGTTTTGTGTTTTATTCGACATCTTTTTGATGAGCGCAGCATCAAAAGTTTTCACTTGCTTACAGATTTTTATAAGTTAGGTTATAGTTGCTTAAAACATGTCACTAAAGTATTATTTTTTATTAGACAACTGACGTGTTTGATGACGATACTAACAAATAAAATAATTAGCCTTAAACAGCAACCAAATATATCAAGTAGTTTTTTGGATTCACTTCTCCCATTAAGTTTAACATACTTTTGGAATATAGACTTCAAGACCATCAAAAGTAAATTATTATTACATTATTAACGTCATTCGTGATACAAATTCTATAAACCTGATTTAATATATGAATAATAATAATAAAATATATCTATGAACTAGAAAGGAAACAATTTCTTTACCTATATTAATTACTATAACTACTGAACTGATTTGTATCAAACTTCGACTGTTCCCTAAGTTGGAATAAACTTCATTTGAATCAAAAATGACCATCTCGAAATACGGTTATCCGAGAAATTAATATAATATGTGGAGAAATATAATCACACTTACAAATTGCTTAAAAAAATCTAATAAGATTATTATTCTGAAATATTACAAAATTCGAAAAAATCTAATACAAAGGTTGAAACTCCTTTTTTTTAATCCGGGTAATGAGAGGTAATCTTATTTGATAAAATGTAAGAAACAGCAAAATCGGAAGTATCGTTTCTGCGTCTGTTTCAATAAATATTTAAAGGTAAGTCTTCTTTAAACAGCCTTCTTTTACAGCCTGAATCAAAACCTCTCTTCATTCGGTAGCTCAAGACTGAGTGTAGTGGTCAGCAAGGAAACACCTGGAGCGGACAATGTGTTTCCACCAGTATCTGCCCAGTGCCTCTCTTATTACAGTGTACCGTGTTGAGGACGATGAGTCTTTAATTTGATCGGTGCACCTGGTTGGTGAAGGACCACGCGATTTATTGGCTTCTGTGTTACCAACCACAATTCTCCAAGTTCTCATCGCCTTTGCGCATTGTATCGCCAAAATATGATATAATTCGTTGTCGGCATATGGTAGACAGCCGAGTCCGTATGCGGAGTTGCGTCAAAATCGATGTATTGGTTCACCGTATTATTAAAATTATCTTTATGTTTTACGAATTAAAAAAAGCCAGTAGAGCTGCAACCCTTGGCCTAAGATTTCTGTATCTCTTTCGTGATATTTTTCTAACAGGCAAGTAGATGAGTAGACTTTCTTGTATGATACACGCCAAAAAGCTTTTCTTCAACGTACGAGGAAGTATTAAATGCGTTCATAGAAAGACAATTCAATTAATGCACAGCCCGCGTCTGAACCTACGTTAAATAATAAATTTTTAATGCAGTGTTGGGCTAGCAACTACTCGAAGTCACGCGACTCTGAACTCTAAGGCTAGGCTTTAAATTCACAATTCAATTGCATCAACAGATTTTTCTTTTTACGCCATTTAAACACTTACGGTAATGGAAAATTATCGCGAGAGAAATGACAAAAATAATGTCTTGGATTGCAAAATTTATGTGCACCAGGCACAGGATCTTATTGCTATCTCCATCTCGCCTTTGAGAAATAAGAGAGATAGATAAAATAGGCAATACGTATTATTGTAGCGCCACTGGCAACATGCAATTTTGCTAAATAACACGTCGAACACTTGTATTAGGATTTCTATAAGGCGGCAAGGTTTTATGTGCGTAATAAAAACTTAACGAGCCCGAATCCAGTTATATGGTAGTCTGGCAGAAATGAAGAATAATAAAAATTGTATGCATAAATTATAACTAATATTAAAGTTATTTTTAATATTCAGAAACGAGATATTACGCTATGATTGAGAATGTTATTGATTCGTTAATGACGTTTTTGTGTCATATTTATATATTTTAACGTCAATTTCTACCATAACAGAAACACTAATTCGATAGCCAACAAAATATTTTAATAATCGACAATACGTGTGAATTTGAATGTGGAACAAACGATAGAACCAATACGTATACAAAAATTGTCTGAAATCAAATCTGCTCGGAAAAAATAATATTTCGAAATACTTTAAATGTTTAAATAGTACACAATAACAGTGTTTTCCCCATAGCTGTAAGTAGTGTTATTGGAAACTTTCTTATATGAAATATCCTTTTTCGTATATTAGGTTAGTGAATTACTTATTAGTCTAATATTAAATTATGTTTTAATGCAGACAAATAATATTAATCCGTGGCTATGTGGACTGTCTGCGTCTATATCATTAATCATTTTGTTTAGGTAGGACCAGCCTTCTGTGCCTGACAGGTCGATTTTTGGGTCCGAGACCTGTCAGTCACGCACATACAAAATCCATTGATGCGTAGGGGATTTATAGGTTTGATATCTGTAGCAACAAGCTTAACACTTTCACGTTTATACACATAATAATTAACTCATCGTAAAATTGTGATATTAAAGTGTTTATTCAATTAATAGAAAATAAACTAAATTTCATTGTCTAACGATTTGACTGTGAGACGAGCCAAAAAATATTAATATAAATGATAATACTGTCCTTCATCGTTGGTGGTTCGACCGATGAAATTAATACCACAACCTTTTTTAACGATGTCATATAAACTTGACATACTTTTTTATACCTGTCAGACATAAATTGTATAATATAGAAAATTAATCGTCGTTAAGCGTTAAGCTCGTTGTTATAGCTGTCGATGGTCCAATTTCCCATTAATACAACAGGGGACAGAACACCTTGTTGGGCCCAAAGTTGAATTGGTTTGAAAATACTTGAAGCTTTAAAGAAACGCTCAGTTGCAGAACAACCGATGGGCATCAAGATGATAGGGTCGGAATTTTATATTCTCCCTCAACGTCTGATATTGAAACTCAGCTGTAGGTATTAATCCTCACACTCTCCATAGTAAATGCGGTAGAAGATGCAGAGAGACCCCACCATCTCTACGCAATGCTATCAAACCGCAGGCAAAGTAAGTAATAATAGTTGTTTCGCATTGGTAAACAAAGGAATTAAAATATATACATAAATTATGAATGAAACAAAATGACTGCCCCATGCCCCAATTGAATGACAAATTTTTAATACAATGAAGTGATTGATATTTATCCTTGTAACAACCTCTATTTAATATACCCATACTCATTTCTATTGAATTTAGTCACTGTACCCGGATTTAAGTACTTAATCGTAAATCTTTACGTGATGTGATTTTTAAGTAATGAGTTGTTTTACATTGCAGTGGGAACGCCGTAATTCGAACCACTGAACCGTACGTGATGAGAAAAATGAGCGTATGTTTGGTGTAACGTCATCGAAGGCTTTTGAAATGTCTAAATTGGTAGTAATTGCTTTTAGAAGTCGCATATCTTGCCTTCGAATTTATGGTTAAATATTTAAATTTTTCATTCAATTTCGTATGTCAAAAATATGAAATACAGGAATCAATAATATTGTTTATTCACATCTAGTTTACATACAAATGGTTTATTTTGTTATTCTAAGTTTCGGTCCCCATTTTGGAGGAGACCTCCTTCAAGTTTTTTTTACCCTATTTGAGCGCTATTTAGTCTCAACTTTGACCCTTACGGTACGACAGAGAATGCTACTAGTATCCATGAGCGGAGAGCGAAAGAGAACATCGGTCAGTTCACATCATCTTGGGTGAATCTTCTCTTTTTAGAATAAATTTGGATCGTAAAGAATTTTTCATTGAATTAGCAATTACTTAGCTAATAGAGAATTTGGGTTCATATGAAAGTACCTACTACATATATATATGTCTTTACCGATTGTATAATAAATTAGCTTTAGCTACAGAAACGCCAATTACCCTCTAAGGGATTTAACATTAAGATATGGACTAATTGAGAAATATTATTTAAGGTATTTTGTAATAAAGTTAAGTTTGTTTTGTCTCATGTGTTGAATTCACAGCTGAATCTATATCAGGACTCACTTTAATTATTTTATAAAATTCTATCTTATTTCTTTTTATTTACGCAAAAACATCAAACGAAGTCGTGAGCCAGAGGTGTTTTGCTTTTTTATGCGA